AAAAAAAAAAAAAAAAAAAAAAAAAAAAAAAAAAAAAAAAAAAAAAGGGGGGGGCGGGGGCATTATATCCAAGGACATGTGGGAAGTAGAAACAGCACAGCTGTCCGTCAGCAGAGGAGTGGATGAACCCAGGACCTACGTGCACGGTTGGTTCCCGGGGTCCTCAGGTGGCTGGGAGGGAGGGAGGTGCCCTTCACATGTACGGGGCACCTAGGAGACTGAAAAATACAACTGAGAAATGGGAAAGACATGTAAGAAATGGGGGGAAATGAAGCACATCTAAACCCCTATAGTACCTGTGTGATCCAGATGAGAACTTAATACGAGTATTGGGCCCAGCCTGTGGTGCGTCTGGTGCGCCAAGCAGAGCAGCATCCGTGAAAGCTTCCAGAGGACTCAGGTGTGCGGCTCGATGCCCCAGAGACAAGCCCCACCGAGAGGGCACATGTAACTGATGTAAGTCAAACAGGCTGTTCCTCCTGAGTGGAGGTGAGCATATTCCGTAAGCCAGAAGATAAGTTCCCCCCAAACTTGAGAAAATAAAACAGCATTTTGAAACAGAATATACAACAGATGTGATTTATGTTAATTAAAGCAAAATAGAAAAAAATGAAGCCCCAAGCGACACAACAGAAAGAGGTAGCTCAGGATAGAGCTCAGTTTTAGTCACTTGGATTTTAAAGTGTCCTCGGTGGATGGAGTAAAACAATGAAATACATGGTGCCAAAGAGAGAATTCGTGAGCTGGAATGTAGATATGAGGCAGTTACCATAATGTGACACAAGTTAAAATGTAAAAAATAGTTTTAAGAGACTAGGAGTTTGGAATGAGGTGGCCGAACATATGTCTGATAGGAAACCCTTATATCTGTTAGGAGGCCAGAGAGCACAGAGGACAGACAGATTTCTCAGAGGCCGACTGAGAACCTTCCAGTGCGGAGAAGGCCTCCGGCTCACGCGTGCAGAGTCCCGAGCAAGACCAGTGAAAGCCTGCAGCTGGTCTCAGTCCAGTGAAGGAGCAGTGCGCTCACTCCATAAAAAATACACCACCAAGGAAAAAGATCTAAAAGTCAAACGGAGAGACAAGGTTACCTGAGAGGAAACAATAGTTTGAATGACTCCTACCAGGAGTAATAGAAAAATGGTGACATGATATCAAATAACTGCGGGAAACGCCTGTTAACTTAGAATTCTGTACCCAGCACACCCGGCAAAGGTACAGGAGAGGACAGTGAACAGAGTTTTAGACAAACACTGGGAGTATCAGCACCCAATCTGAAAGAACCGCTGGAGTATTTGTAACAGGAACATCGCAGTTTGGGAAGATCTAAAACTGTCTTTGTTCACAGATGACACGATTGTCTACCTAGAAAATCAGAAAGAATTAACAACAAAAAAATAACTCCTGAAACTAATATCAAGAGTGCAGGATACAAAATTAATATGCAAAAGTCAGTTTCTTTTTTTATACTGCAATGAACAAGTGGAATTTGAAATTAAAACACGATGCCATTTACATTAGCACCCCATACATGAAAAACTTAGACATAAACCTACCAAAACATGTGCAGGATCTGTGTGAGGACAGTCACCCGACTCCAATGAAAGAAACCCAAGAACTAAATAGGTGGAGAGACATCCCATGTTCATGGAGAAGACTCAGTGTTGTCAAGATGTCAACTTCCGAACTCGATCTAAACAATTCCAATGAAAATCCCAGCAGGTTATCTTGTGGATGTTGATCCGCTGGTTCCAAACTTTATACGGAGAGGAGAACAACCCCGAATTGCCAACACAGCGCTGAAGGAAAACAAAGCCAGAGGACTGACGCTGCCTGATGTCGCGCCATCCCATAAAGCTGCAATAACCAAGCCAGCGTCGGACTGCGGGCAGAACAGACAAACAGATACGGGGCATAAAACAGAGAGCCCAGAAACAGACCCACACAACACCGGCAGCTGACCTCTGACAAAGGAGGGCAGGCAACGCGACGGGGGACAGGTGGTCTTTTCGACAGATGGTGCGGGAACAACTGAATATTGACACAGACCTTACGCTATTCGAAAAAGTAAACTCAAAATGGATCACATGTTTAAATGTGAAACAGAAAACTATAAGACTCCCAGAATATAGCATAGGAGAAAACCGAGATGCCCTTGAGGATGGTGATGACTTAGACAACGCCGTGGGCGTGACCCATGAAATACATAAACCATAAGCTAGACCTCATTAAACTGAACAGTTTCTTCCCGTGAAAGACGGTGTCAAGATCATGAGAAGACAAGCCACAGACGGGGAGAAAACACCTGCAAAAGACTCATCTCATAAGGGCAGTCATCCAAAATATGCAAGGAACTTGTAAAACTCAGCAATGAAATGAACCACCCACTTAAAAAACAGGCTGAAGTTGTTCCCAGACACCTCACCAGACAATATATACAAGCAGCAAATAAGCGTCCGAAAAGGTTCTCAGTAGCGTCCGTCATCAGGGAACTGGAAATTGAAACAAGGAGACACCACTACACACCTACCGGAATGGCCAAGATCCAAAGCGCTGACGACACCAACTGCGCTCAAGGACATGGAGCAGCAGGAACTCCACTCGGTGCTGGCCGGTGTGAAGAGCGGTGCAGCCACTTTGGAAGACAGTTTAACAGTTTCTTTCAAAGTCAAACATGCTCTTACCGCACCACACGGCAGCCGTGCCCCTCGGTGTCTGCGCAAATGAGCTGAAGAAGGGTGTCTACATAGTCATCCGCACACGGAGGCTCAGCGCCGTTTTATTCGTAATTGCCAAAACTTGGAAGCAGCCACAACGTCCTCCAGCAGGGGAACAGATAAGCTATGGTCCATCCAGGCAATAAACTATTATCCAGTGCTAAACACAAACGAGCTATCGAACCATATAGGACATGGAGGAAACTGCAGTGCACACCACTAAGTGACGGGAGCCAACTCGAGAAGCCTACGTACTGTGTGATTCCAACTATATGACGTTCAGAAATGAACACTATGGAGACAGTAAAAAAAAAAAAAAATCAGTGGTCGCCAGGGATTGCGGGGGGAGGGAAGGTTGAATTGCCAGAGCACAGAGGTATTTTTAGGGTAAATATATTGTTTTGTACGATACTAGAATGGCGGATGCATGTATTATACCCCTGTCCAAACCCACAGACCGCACCTCGCCAGGAGTGAGCCCTCGTGAGCTGCGGACGTCGAGTGTGCCGGTGTGGGGATGCGCTGCACCGCTCCCCTCGGCGCACGAGCCGTGCTGCGCGGTGCGGGGCGTCCGCGGTGGAGCAGGTTGTGGGGGGGGGGGG